AATATAAAATGTGGTTTATCAAACTTCTTTTTATTGAAATGATTATAGCACAATTATTTTAGGAATTATGCTATAATTATGCATGAATCAAAAAAATGAAACAAAACAAAACTCACGTACCCACTGCGACACTCCAAAGTACCCCTTGAGTAACTAGTACCTACATTTGAGAAACACTGATTGAGGCAGCAGAACTAATGGTGAGGTTCAGGACAGGATGGGGGTCTGGGTGGCTGTGGCTCACAGATAGCTTGACCTGCCCGTCCACCATCACTTCCTCCTGACACAGACTTCTCTGCTGATACTACATTCCTGACTTTGTCCTGTTCTCCCGTCATTATTACTACAGCCTCTAGGGGTTGACGTCGTCTTCTTGTATTCGTATCGGTGATCGAGACGATAGCCGCCTTCTGAACCTACAGGTGTAGCAGGCCCTTTCTAACCCATATCTATGAGGCTGATAGCCACTGACAACGCTCATTCAATCGGCTGATATCATTCAGAGTGGGTTCCTTTATGACACAGTTGAAACCTTTGTTATATGAATGACAGAGCAGCCCAGTAAGAGAAGAGGAGTGTGCAGTGTGAGTTCTTGGTTTCTGTGTGTGTACAGGAGGGTCCAGTGAATAGTGAGCGTTATCTGTCGTGGGCCAGCGCCTTCCTCGTCGTCTACAGCATCAACAACATGGAGAGCTTCAAAGGCTGCCAGCTGTACCTGCAGACCCTCGCCCTGCACAACAAAACCTTCAACCCACAAACTCCCATCATCCTACTGGGGAACAAGCTGGACATGGACAGATACAGGCTGGTATCTGTGTGTGTGTGTGTGTGTGTGTGTGTGTGTGTGTGTGTGTGTGTGTCTGTGTCCTGTAAAAATAATATGATAAACATAAGAATTAGAATGTGACAATCCAACCAAAATGTGTGCACTGTGCTGCAGGACACACATTGAACATGTTTTTGGCTGAGGAAAGGCTCGGCCCTAATGTGCAGATTGTTTAGTTCTGAGGGAGGTATGCTGAATGTGCTCTCTGGGAGCTTTCTACTTCATTTTGTCTTTTCAACACTTAACTACTTGTACAGATCCTTTTATCATCAACAATGTGTGCATGGTGGCAACGGAAGTGGCCCCAGCCATCCTGATGAGATAGAACGCTTTAAACGTTGAACTAAAACTGTTAACAGCATCAAAATGTCTACTTTTCAGAATCAACAGAGTCAAGTTCTACAGAACTCTGTCAGAATTACGACCGTTTCAGAGATGCAGGTGTTTCAGTTTAGCGAGTGACCGTGTTAACTAGTGACTTGCAGCTGAATGTGTCGGTGGATGCTCGTAGTAACTTAAGTAAATGGTTGGAGATAATAAACCCGATCAATATGTATTTAAAAATTGATTAAAGGCTTTTACGAGGTCCTCTACATGTTCTCTCAACAGCTGCTGTCACTACGAGCAACCACATTGCATTTGGCTGAGAGCCACCAGTTAACACGGTCACTCATTAAACCAAAACACCGGTGGCTGCTGTGGCTGCCAGCTTTTAAACGTGTTGGCTACCACCGGACTGTTTGTAGCGCCCATTTTAAAACTGAACAAAGTCAAACCTCTGAGTCTGTGTCATGGTTGAAGTTCTGTACATGAACACAGATAACGGACTGAAGCATCTGGGGACTTGTAGTTTGTAATGTCTCGCTGGTGTAGTAACGTTACACGCTCATTTTCTCCACCCAATACATGTATCTGGCAACTAAATATTGGGCCACTTGCCCGTGTACTGTACCCACTCACTAATAGAACACGGATCTGTCAATTTGTTTAGGTTCCATTTGCCATCTTTGCTGGTTAATGTTTTTGCATAGCTTTACAAGGTAAGGTAAACCGTCATACTTCCTTTGCCAAACTGCATGCTCATACTTACATATCATTGTTTACATATGGTCAAAGGGTCTGTAGGTACTTTAAAGGGCAAGCAGTGAACAATGTGGAGAATTCAAACCTTGACAGGAATAGCGCCATGCCCGCTGCTCTGTGAGGTCTGTATACGTTAAGCTCCAAATCAGCTCCTGAGGATCTCTCTTAGATCGACTCTTAGGCTTCTTTCAGACATCTGTAAAGAAAACGAACTGCTGAATTAAACAAACATGAGCTGACTCAGCAGTACAGCTGACTGGCAACAACAGCGTATTCCCTTGCTGCAGAGGTCCAAATGAGTCCGGAATCATGAATGTCACAGAGTTGTCCCTGCACTTAAAGCTCAGTACTCTGGCGTAGGTTTGATACTGAGTTCAATAACAAAAAACAGGACAGATTGTTTTTAACTAAGATGTCTTCATTCCACCAGACAAATTGGAGAAAAAGACTTAATCAGTAATTCAATATTTGAAGTCAGGGTGTGGAGGTCGAGGGATCTGGATAGTGTTCAGTACACTGTGCACACTTTGAACTCACTTGTCTAGTGTGTAATATTCAACAGGGTAGTGTTGTCTCAAATAGCACACTGCTGTTATGTTCTTACCAGAAGCTCTTAGATCAGCTCGTGATCAACCCAGACAAATGAACCCAATAATGCTTTCTGTTTGACTCCAGTATAATGGTACTTAAGAAAAAAAACATGTATTAGTTCAATTTGTATAATTTGTTTCACTGCTGCAGCTTCCTTGGTCGCAACTCTCTTAAAATGTTCAGTCTGAGATGGGTTGGTGGTCCCTTTCTTCTGTGACGTAGCAAAGATGGTAAATGTTGAGGGTGAGAAGTATCCAGCATTCCACAAGCAACTTTCTGACCATCCAGGTACTCATAGTGCACTGCATGTTGCCATACCTGTTAGTGTGAACGCACTTATGCAATCAGCATAGCAAGTTTAAGTACAGAAATACACAAATTGAGACACAGCATCAGACTGATGTTGACTTTCTTGTCTGATGAAATAAGCTAACCGAGTTCACCGCATTAGTTTAGCATGCTAACATCTGCCACAACATTGTCATGATGGCAATGTTATTGTTGTTTTGGTCAGAAAATAAAATGATGAAAAGTCAGAGGATCACCAAAGTTGTTACTATTCATCCTGACAGGAACAAAGTTTATCGCAATCCATCCAATAGTTCCATATTTCAGTCTGAACATTTCTAATTTGATAGGGAACAGATACATTTGATCTCGTCCAGGCAGAAGTCCAGTGAGAGGTTATGTTTGTTCGTGTGTGGGGCAAAAAACAGTTTGCACACTGTTATTGTTTTGGACGGTGTGTTTGGCTAACAGCTAACAGCTAACGGCTAACGGAACTACCAATGCACACACTGCTGTCTCTCGCCGTAGACAGCTTAGTGAGGATACCTTTATGTTTTAGCACGATTGTATGAAGCGTATTATACGACAACTTCAAGCCCATTGCTTGTATAATGTTACTTGTTGTATACCCTTTAATTGTTTTTGACGATGAGTAAAAGGCTTTACAGCACAGACACAGTGGGGGACACCTGGCAGAGACCTGCACTCAACTGAGTACACCTTTCAACCTTTTCCTATTTAACGATACCAATACTGATACATGTCATTTATGAGTATGTGATTTTTCAAAACAATAAGGTCAGTAGGATTCACAGTCTGGGAAACAATTGATACCTAGTGCTTCATCCGTGTAAACTTTCCTCAGTTGTGACACAAGTGATCAGGTTTCAGTAGACTATTCTCTCTCAGGCAGGTGAGTCAGTGTGACGGTGAGCTGCTGGCGTCTCGTTTCGGCTGCTTGTTCTTTGAGGTGTCGGCCTCTCTGGACTTCCTCTCTGTGCAGCACGTCTTCTACGAGGCGGTGAGGAGGGTGAGGCGCGGTGGGAGGCGCGGCTGTCTGGTACCGGCCGTCTACGTCAGCGAGGACAAAGCGCTGCTCGGTGTCCACTCCTTCACCACCCCCTGCTACAAGGAGCTGCCGGCCCCCGCCACCGCCAAGCTGGTCACCGTGAAGACGTCCAGAGCCCAGAGCAAACGGAGGGCCGCCACACTCACCCTGCTGAAAGGTTTCAAGATCTTCTGACACCCCCTGACACCCTCCACTGGGACCACTGACTCTGTGAAAGACCCTGCTGCACAGGGGGTGGACACAATAATATGAACAGCTATACAGTGAGTGTACAGACATGTACTTGAGCCAGCCCTGTGGTTAAAGGACGACCCACTCTACCCACTGAGTCACAGATGATCTGATGATTTGAATAGTTTCATGTCCATCCAAGTCTTGAGAATCATAATATGGTCTTGACAATACACCACATCTCAACACAACTGAACACCTGGGGGCGACTTGCAGTGACACGCTCTTTTCATTTGGACAAAAGAAGACAAAAGAACGGCCACTGTTGTGTTGCACCTGGAAGTAAAAATGATTTGGTTAATGCCATGGACAGAACAGTCCGTTTGAAACAGAGAACAGATCCCCCAAGACTGAGGTGCGACCCGCTGTATATCGTCAGCACCATTTCTGTAGTGTCTTTAAGCTTTTCTCAAGGTCCTCCTTATCATAATGTTGGGATTAACACCGTTTACTGTCGCTGCAATTTTCTTCTATATCAACCGCTGAAAAGGTGTAAAAAATATTTGGTAGCCATCACGAAAATAACATTATGCAAAATAAATTACTTTTGGAACAATATCTTACTTTTTCAGCCCAACATCTTGACTGTCTGACCGTCCACCGCTGGAGACCAATGAACCGGGTTACATATGCAACGTCACTCCAACATGCCGGCTTGCTAGCAAGATATGAAAATAACCTGGTCATATCTGTTTTTTTAAATCAGAGGTGTTTTTTTCTAATATATTTGGGCAATACCAGTGCCAAGACATTCATGTTTCATGCCCTTTTTGAATATAGTGTTTTTTAGATTTGCAGACAAGCCTACAGGGTGTGCATTCACAATGAAGACAGCCTCCCTCCCATCAGCATCTTTGAATCTTCTCCTAATTCTCTCCTCTTGATGGGGTGAGGTGTCTGATTGGTCAATAATCAGACACATAAGCTCTCTGATTGGTATTGTGTGTCAGAACAGCTGTTAGATGAAAGGTTTGCTGTGTGAAATTTCTGCTTGTCTACTTTTATCTTCCTTTCTTCTGCTACAGCTCGCTCGGTACGGAGATGATCTCATTTCCTGCAACAACAATCTTAGCTACAAAGTAAACTATTGTCACTATATACTCTTATGCATGAATACACTTTTCTGATTGCAGTAAATTGTCTTTGATGAAAAACAATATTAAAATAGATTATGAAATGATTATGTAGACAACAATTTCCCTCATTAATCCAGAGGGTTATGATTAAAAAAAAGGGACTAGACTAAAGGGAGCTGACGGAGGGAAAACCCCAGAAGAAGACTGGCAGAGACTGGTGAGAGTGGACATGAGGCACACCATCTGAAGGTGACAGAGGGTCACTGCTCTCTGATTCTCCTTCTTTTCACTGTCCTAGCTTTGTATCAACACAGCTTTTCAAGTAATGTAGAATCAGATATGCGATAGATTAAAATCCTTAAATACATTAACAGATCAACATGCGGTATTTGGAAAGAGGCTTTCCAAGTCAGTCTCAACAGAGCTGAGGGAGCTACACATTCAATGAGTCGTCAGAAACAGCACTTTCATCCAATTATTTAGTGATTTAATATTGATGTTTGCAGATGCAAACTCTTTCTCGATCAATATAGTGCACACTGAGAAATGTCTGCCCCTTCTTAGTCGATTAATCGCCTAATCAGTCCTTCTGATCTCCGTTGTTTTATCAATTAGTCAAACTTTTTTTTTTTTGCTGAATGAAGTTCCAAGACACTTATGAGCACATCTCTGGGGCTTTGTGTGATTCTTTGTGGCTGAAAACTGTCGATGAAATCCTGTGAGTGTCAGTGGACAGAGAAGTGCTTTAGTCGAGGACATCTCTAGAATTATTCTTTGAACATTTTGGGATACACGCTTTTTCACTGTCTTTCTGAGTTAGATGAGAAAATCAATATCTCTATCATTTCTATGTTAGGTAGTGTTAGACATGTTGGAGTGTTTTGCGAAATTGTGAATGCCCTCTACACGGAATGCCCTGGTTATTAGGTGTTAACAAAGAGAGGCATAGGACTCTGTGTCTCTTGTAAGATGTCACCTGCTGCACATGCAGTTACGACACACACACACACACACACACACACACACGTTAGCGGGGCTTGTAGGGGACAGAACAGGGTGATGTAATGTTTTCACACCCTTACAACATAGTTTCACACAGGATGCAACACATTAACCCTTTAGCTTGTTAACCATATATATGAGAATGTTATTATCAACCAGTGAGCAAGGGGTGTCATACTTCATGACTAAATTTAAGGGGGGTTACCATGTCCATGGCATGACCCACAGAGGCACCAAGAAAGGGGGGGGTTACTTTCCCCCGGTGTTGTGAGCGTATAAATATTCTCGGTTTTAAAGGATCGAGGCAGTAGTTGGGGTTAAACTTTAAATTCTTACAAATCTCCAGACATTTGAAAACAGCATGCTCACTGAGTACAGGGTTTTTTAAATTCTTTTTTGATTTTTATATTTTTACGTTAATCGATTTTTCTCTTTGAATTGAAGACTGGTGAATAAATGAATACTTTATGCGCACACACCTAGACATACTAACATCCGTTTCTATAGTTAAGAGAGGCTCGGGGAAGTCCCGCTTCAAACCGGTCCCAAAGAACGCCCGTGAGTTTGACAGAGCTTTATATCTGTTGGGCTCTGAGCAGGGAAATACTAATTTTAAAGACTTTGAAAAACCGACGGCTATCCGAGCGACAGATTATACTATTGAGTACATCGATGTTTGGCGATTCTGAAAAGAAAGCAAACGATGATGTATTACTATTTGGTGCAATTGGCTACCGGCATAAGTTTCTCTTAAGCGGAGGCAATCGAGGCAAATTAGGGAGAAGTGCGCGGTAGCCACTCTCCCTCAGGTCAGGTGAGCGAGTCACAGAGAGAGAGAACTGAAGTCTGCCTCTCTCCCCCTTCACGCAGTCTGTTGCTGCAACAGGGGCGCTCACAGGGGGCGACCGGACATCGGGGATCCGTGGTCACCCCGGCGGCAGCTCGGGTCTGCCCGTCGCCAGCGAGGTCCTCTCAGTTCGCGCACACACTGCTGAGGGATCCTCGTTTCACTTTTGTTCGTTTCAAACAAAAGGCCTACTAATTTGTTTATTACTTTTTAATTTTTGATAAATTAAAAATGTTTTTGATAAAAAATAATTTTTAATAAATTAAATTTTTTTGATATAAATTAAATTAAGAAAGCGTGCGGGGGCACCGCGCGCTACAGTAGAGTTAGCGCAGCTTAGCATAAAGACTGAAGACCTAAAGCTTCCAAATGAACACAAAGTATCTCATTTGTTTCAAATGTTAGCACAGCTTCTACTTGGCTGGCTGTCTCACACAGCAGCAGTAGCTAACAACAAAACAGCATAAAGGTAAGGTATAAAATATGTCTCACGCTCATCATATACACACGGTATGACCTCAAACCCCCCCCACCACCCCCATGTCCGCTACCGCTTCAGGTAGAATCTAATTCGGTGGGAAACACTGGAATACCATGAATAGAAAATTACTTTTATTATTTAAAATTGCTCATTTTTTGGAAACAAAAGGTTGCATGTAAATACACCGTTTAACATGTAGTATTTTAGTTTTAGCCAAAGGCATAAACAACCTTCCTCATGTGACAAAACTCTGTTACTCATACGGTATGTCCCTTTAACGTTGTGCCTACATTTAAACTGATGGAATGTTTTGGATCTTTTTCGACCTTCCCATTGAATGTGGACATAACCTTTTCAGGGATTAATTAATCTGTTGGACTGTCGGGCTGCTGTGAATGTGGAGAGTCAGCAGGTTTTACAGATTTAATGCTTTGTAACTTCATATTAGCAGTCCATCAAAGTTGTACACACTGTTAGCATCACGAGGTGGAGCAGTGGGTGGGGAACAGCTATATGAGATGGAAGCTGCTAACTGCTGCCTCTAGAGGAGCATGCTGTGTTACAGGCTGACATTATTCACACCTGCTGTTAGACTCTTCACTCCATCGTCTTCACTGCCTCATCAGCAGACAGCTCCTCCTGTTTCTCCTCCTGATCCTCCTCCCGTTTCTCCTCCTGATCCTCCTCCTGTTTCTCCTCCTGATCCTCCTCCTGTTTCTCCTCCTCTGCTGGGGGATCAGAGTACAGGCAGGACGTGTTGCCGTCCTTCCATGTGACCACGATGTTTCCTGCTTTGAGCTCGCTCACATCCCCGTTGTTTCCCGTCATCGGCCTTTCAAGTGACGGTGATGCTTTGCTGCTGCTGTCATCTCTGAGCGGTAAAATGAGCCGCAGCTCCTCACTTTTCTGAGCCACATCAGCAGCTGCCTTGTACTTTGCAATCTTCTTTCTGCTCCTGAGGGAAAAGACAGAAACTATGTCAACCAACAGTCTATAAAATATCAATATTAAACAAGTGTTGCTATGAAAATGTCATTGCATACTTGCTGGCCATGGCTCCCATTCCCAGCAGCAGAAAACCAACAAGAAGGCAGACGAAGGCCAGTCCCAGCAGCACAAAGGTCCATATGGTTGCTGTAACAGGAAGAAGACTGCTAAACATACAGCTCATATAATATTAGTTTAGCACTTAACAATTAATGTTAGAAAACAACAGCAAGAGGCTGCCAGAGGCAATTACTGAATGTATCCTGGTTATGTGGTGCTCATCTTGTCCTTGTCTCAGAAACGTGCTACATGGAGCTCTGTGATAGAAGCCAGGATGACACCAGGTCAAACTCTACACTGAACAATATGTACAAAATCAGATATTCCCAATGTTAACATAGATGAGATGGACATTATGTAATTCAAAGAATTTCTAACAAGATAATTTAACTTTTTTGTCAAAAAAATGTACTGGGCACAAATTATTGTTAAAGGAGATTAATTCCATATGTCTTCATAGGTATGTATGTTAGGGTCGCTCCCTCTCTATGCTCTGGCCTTGTATGATTGCCTTTTCAGGTAAACTGCGGATGTGGAGACTCTCCGCTGATTAATCCAGGTGCTCCTCCAGCCAAGGACCTGATTGGTCCCACACCCAGTCAGTTGTGCCAATCAAGAGAAGGAAGGCTTTGAGGAAGAGCATAAAGACTGGACCCAGACTGGCCTCGAGTTAATCGAGCACGCCACAAAACCCTTCCAGACTAACGTGGAGTTGTCCTGATGTTATTTTGTAGGAGGTACGAGTGAGATTCTTTAGTTGCAGGTATACGACACACTGTTGTCCCACAGACACTTTAAAACACTAGGAACAGCTTGTGCTGTTTTTTTTTTTTAAAGTCTTTACTTCCATTAGTTTTGGTTTTAGATAAGTTGAAGACCAACTTTTTTAGAATCTCTTTTGGTTTTATTAGTTTCTTTGATTTGGAAACGGCTCTCTTAGCCCTGTTGCTCCTTTTGTTACCTTTGTTTTCTCATGTTCAACAAAAGAGCTCCTAATTTAAAATAAATAACATTGTAACCTGTTACTTCCTTTTTCCAGAATGAGCCGGGCTGTAACAAGGTAGAAAATGATTTTATTTGTTTATGAAACTGACAAAACATAAAAATAACCTTTATTTAAATCACAGCATCCCAAAATGTTAATTGGCTGTTGAAGTGTTTTTGAAGAATATAGATATTCTTCTCTTTCTAGTGAAAATTAAATGGTGGTGACGTAGCGCTGTTTGTTTCTGTCTGATCTGATGTGTGGAGAAACACCCAGATGTTCGCTTAGGGAAGTGTCTGTCTGCTGCTCTTCAACGGAGATGTGGACGTTAACCAGACAAGCATTTGATAAATCAATCAGTTGGTCTTCATCCTTTATCTTTTCTCTTGTATAGTGAAAATATATATTTAAAAAAATGTTTCTGATGAAGCTTAAGTCTTACATTTGAGTTTTTAATAAAGTGTGGAATGGGCACATTGTTGCTCCTTGTAGCCATTAGTTGAAAATAATATCCACCCCAACTGCAGTTCTTCCCAACCAAATACCTCAAGGGGCAGTAATGAGCCAATCACAGCTCGACGCACCACAGTGAGACAAAAAGACACCACATCAGACAGATTGATGTAATCAGCTGCACTTTTAAGGACTTATTACCTCCACCAAGGAGCTCATGTTTTCTGTTTGCTTTGTTGTTCTGTTTCTCAGCAAAATAAAGGAAAAAAAACTGGCCCGATTTTGATGGAACTTTGTGGACGGAGCAGCAGCAGCACTTACGGTCCTCAGTGCGATAGTACCAGCGCAGGTATTCTCTCTGTTCATCCGTCATGGCCGCCGCATCACCTGTCTGCTCCTTTGCAGCCTCAAACTCTTCAAGATCATCAGATGCCCTCCTGGATCCTGGATGCATAGATCACAAGCCGTATGACAAATATTATACTAAAGCTAACTTTTATTATCATCAGTCTTATGCTAAGTGATGTCTCCGAAACATTTGGTTCAACCAAGACTGATTATTTGCATAATGTCAAACACATGTACTGTAAATGCAACAGTCTCTGTCAAAACAGCTTCAGTTTCATATTCTGTAAACAATTTCTTTCAATCTCATACTACAGTTAGTGAATTAGAACCTTTTACCAGTTCTTCTGGCTTTTGAAGCTTAAGTCAGTAAAACCAAATCACCCAATCATTTTCATCATTCCATACCATTCTTTAAGAATTGACGCTGTTTTCAAATCATCAATGTCAGGCCACTGAGACGGCTACAAGTTTGCCCCTTTAAGCAAGCCAGTTAAGGCTGCATTCATTCCTACTGTTGGCCACCCGGGGGAAGAAGATCTAGCTGTAAACACACTACCTCTCACTCACTGCTTAGCATTGATTCCAGCTGTTATCAAATGCTTTACAAAGACAATGTTCAATACTGTTTGCTGCTCAGCAGCAAACAGCAGACAGACAGTTAGATACTAGCTGGTGAACATAGTGGAGCATTTAGCTGCTAAAGAGACAGATGTTTCCTCAGAAGTTGGTGGAGACCAAAACCAGAGCTAAAAGAGAGAGAACATTGGACCTGCATTGATCAGGTGGACACAAACACAAAGACATTGATCTGTAATGTAAATGTGTAAATAAGCAGCTGTTTGCTTACAAGTTCAACATATCAACTTAAAAGGTTGACAACATATTAACTTATGTCGTCGTTGTGTTCCCTACGTGTTTCTGCTGCAAACAAGTGGACAAAAGAAATCAGTTATTGCAGGTTTAAGTAAAATGCTTCTCCCACCGTCGTCTGAATGCATGTGAATGTACAGATCTCTAACTCACGTCAGTCTAGAAACCTTTCATACAAATATGGAATATAAAAATCAGAAGTGCCTGCCAGACACAGACGTCTCTGTTCCTTTACTCCTCACTGACTTACTGTGCTTTTCCTGGCAGATGTCCCCTTCATCCAGAGATTTCCACTTTGAGAGTTTGCTGTCATGGGTGAGAACCAGATGCCAGCCATCTATTGACAGCAGCATAGAGGTGTTCCTGTTGATCAGTCTGCCCCTGTCACAGTCCCACAACAACCCCGTCACATCTACCTCTGACCCCCGGCAGGACCGAGCCTGAACAGGCTCTTTCTGCAGGGCTGACAAACATCTGGATGATTCAACACACATCAGCATGTCCTGATCAATCCAGATCCACTGCTGAGACTCTGAGTCCAGGTTGCAGTTCTTCAGCAGGACTTCACCTGTAGCTGCAGATTCCTCCAGACACAGGCTGCTCTGGGTGTTGTGGATCATGAATGCCCTCGCCCCTGCAGATGTTGAGAGAGTGACAGGTTTAGATTCATTGTTGTTAGTGTATAAATCAGTTCTGAATGATGCACAGACTTACCTAACAGGAGAGGAAACAATAAGATCCAGGCACCAACCATATCTGAAGAGGATAAAGCATTGTTTTTAAAAATCACTGAAATGTCAAGCTTTCCATTCAAAGCTACCTGAGGAACGGGGCTCATTTCTACGAGGTGACATGATGGCAGTGAATCGTTTTCGTATTTAGTTTCAAAACAGACTCAAGTATTGTGCAATGAGATTCTGGATTGGCTGAATTTGAATGTGAATTATTACGACTCTATTGTTGGAGATCTCTAAATAATGCATGGTGATCTGTTGCACAGCGTTTACTTTGCTATGGGCTGACAATCACCGGCTGCGTAATGCTACAATGACCACAGAGCAGTTTCATATCATAATACATCCGCTACCATGCAAGAGCATTGAAGGCCCAAGGTTGGGAGAGTTACTTTAATTAATTACCTGTTAAAAAATGTATTCAGTAAACTTATCCAAGTATCTCTATATAAAAGTAATATAATCTGATTACTTTCCATTACATATAGAATACTAAATATTCAAATAAATAGAAAAGGAAATGGTTTTGTATGTGTGGGACGGCAGGTAATAGGAGGTCTAGCATTAGGACCCAGGCAGAGGGTCAGAGTCTATAGAGCGGGGTGGGAAGCTCACGCCTGAGAGAGCAGCTGCCAGCCTCTGGTGACTGATTTAGGCTCTTTTTAATAAATATCTTTAAACGCATGATTTCACTAGTGAAAGTGTAGGACCATGATATGTTCATTTTAGTAGTATTAAATTAAAGCTTTGTGAGATAATTGTTAAAAATGTGTTATTTGTTAGATTCTTCATGTTTGATGAGGGACTAAAACTGGAGTGCTTGCTTTGGACCAGTTTACGCAGAACAGAGAGGTTTTTAGTCCCCTTAAAACAATATCAACATGGTTCTTTATAAATAGATTCCAGTCAGATGCATGTCTTCAACTGGGGGAGGGGACTGTGTTCCAGTCTGGCAAGGTAGATTATTTACTTCTACATTGCCCCATAAAACATTATTTTGTAAAGTTTCTTTTTGTGTATGAATGTTTTAGTTTTTAAACACATTCTAGAGTCAAACACTGTTTTCCCAGACTTATTAGATTATAGTGTGCCTTTTAACTAATCAATTGAATGGACCATTTTTACCAAATGTAGGTGTAATCTGAGTGTCTTTTTTTCTGCATCTGTAACGGAATACGGGAACTTGTTTTTGTACCTAATTGCGCAATGCTTTCCCATGTAATCCATTACTCCCCAAGCCTGATCTCACCACATCACACCAGAACATACCATAGACATACACTGCACACCGTGAGAGGGAAACAATAAGAAACAACAAATGAAACATTATTTATCTGCTGTGAAATCACATAGGTTAACATGCTGTGACTGAAACCTCAACATCTCCTGTAACAGTGCAGCTTCACAAACAGTAAAACACCACATACAGAGTCAATCATCGAACCCATTGCTGTGCTGTTTGTATATGAATGTGTTATGTTCTACAATGAATTCAGAACTACATAGTTAGTCATTTGAATGTGTACTCACTTCTCTGATGTTCTGTCTGGAGCTGAGATGAGAAGAAGAGAACCTCTGACGGCCTAAAAAAAGGCTTTCCAAAGTTCATGGGGAGGAGCCTGAAACACTGAATGTGACAAACTGCCATCATAAACACGGAGATTATACTGGACATAAAATGTAGTTATTTATTTATGAGGAACGTGTCTGACAGGAAGCAAAGCTGTGAAGTGGTCTCAGGTAGAACTTAGGCCTTTCTGTCCTGTGAGTTGATCAGACTTTTATGTATTTGTACCACCTTCACGTGATATCAAAGAGACACTAACTTTCACAAAGGAACTGTGCAGCATTTCAAACAAAGTTCAGACTGTTCAGTTCCAGGTCTTTGACCCTGCTACTTGGTTACTGTTTAGACAGCTTTGCAGTAACCTTGACCTCTGTGTCACTGAAGGAATGGAGAGGACGTGTTTCTGTCTGAAGTTTGAGTCTGTTGGATCTGGTACGTTCACTCATGTACTGTATGAAAGGGTTCAATTACAAGTACTTCTCATGCCACTTTCTACTTCAACTCCACCACATTTATCTGACAACTTTTAATAATAACTTATGTATATAGCACCTTTAGTAACAGGTTACTTCTAAATTCATATTTTCACACACAAATAAAGTATAATTTAACAATGTCAGATTAGGGATGCTAACTCATGTCATGGGTCTACTTGTGTTGTTGCAAATGTATTGTGATGCTTGTGAGTTTGTTCTTCGATAGCTGATGCTGCTTAAACAGTTAAGACTTCCTGTGTTCATGTCACATTGAATGAAGATGTGCAAATCTGTTCACTTAAACGTCAGCTTTGTCCATTATCCAATTTGAATAAAGAAAATTGAGTAAAGGAAGTGAAGAGCCTGAAACAAAGACGGCTTGCCTTCAAAGTAAAAGCTGTGACGTATTGGCTTGTTTGCTAATTAAATAAATAAACAAATAATGAACAGAATTTACAACTGTTATAAAGTCATATTTCTGCCACTCTCCCACAACTGATCGTGAATAAATTCGCTAATGGGCGCAAACACTGGAATAATTAATGATACATTATATTATGAATTTATTTAGTTAAGGCTTCTTAAGCGGTGAGGGTGAATGATACAGGCTCTTGTGTTGGGACATGTGATGAGTCTGACTGAAGTTGATTTACCTTGAACTTTGGCTTTATTGCTTGCTCTGCTGTCATAACAGTAATGCCTAAACTATGCGATGTGAAATCCTTCAACTTTATTAAATGTTCACACTTTTAAATATTCTACACGAAATCAAATAAATGGATCAAATGCTTTAGGTGGATTATCCTCCGGCCTGTATAGAACAGAATGAATCCAGTGCTACGTATAAATGACGTATAAATGCTTACCACCGCATAAGAAACATAGAGATATACTTAACCCTTTAATAGCCTTTAGTCAGTCTTCTACAATGTGCTCATAGGTAATCTTTTCACAACACAAGTTTGAGTTTGCTCATTAATAATAGTAAAAACACATACAAAATATTTTCTTTTATTAAATTACAGACTTTTTATACCTGTACCTGCTGCCCATTAGCATTATGCTAACATGGACCAACCAATCAGATCCTTCCCTTCGCTAAAACAGTATTTCAAACTCATTCATCATTTATTAAGAAGTACTAATCGTTATTATTGCTGCTTCCTTGTTAAATGACATTTAACTGATTCAGTGTCACATCAGCTGGTTCTATGACCTCAGTATTTCTCCCGAAATTCACGAGTCAAAGTTTGTGAAGTTCCATTTTATGTAGTCATTTAAAATGATCAATACACTGTAGTTAATAAACAGATCAGAGTCCGGTTCTGTGTTTCCTTAAACAACTCTTAATGAACAATGAATTGCTCCTGAACAAACTCACATTTTCATATCATGAATTTGTGGTGGATTCAGGTCTTTTAAGAAGAGGTACCTATACCACACTGTAAAAAAAAACTGGTACACGTAAAAGTCCTGCTTTGGAAATGTAAACAACAACCCCCCCCCCCCGCCAAATAAATAATCTCTGACTGCTCAAGGCCTCCCACAGTCTCAATGACCTCTGACAGGCCGGCCGAAGCAACAGTCCAGTCCTTGATAATTGGAGTGCTGCACTTTGGGCACACAGTGCTTCCTTTGGTCCGGTCCAGTGGTTCTGGAGAAAGCTGCCAGCATTCAGACCTGCCAACCTGTAACTAACACGTTTTTTCCCAGCTTGCATGCATTTTGACATCAAAGTGTGCTGGTATGACTTGTTTGAATGCAGGAATTTGACTGTACTTTTATTTGCAACAGAGTATTTTTACACTCATTCTGTGTTGATATTGATGGTCCTTGTAGACAACAGTGGTAGAGTTCCCGGAGAGTTCCCGAGCACCAGAGTCCCTTTAGAAAAGGCAGCAAAGCCAGTTGTGGGTCTGTCTGCTGTGGGCTTTTTGCTGCTGGAGGACCCGCTGGAGTCTGAACTGAAGGAGTTCTGGTGAAGTTGCATGATTTCATCTGATTTTGTGAAGAATCCGACCAGATGGCAGCAATGACAGGCGTGAAGAATAACTACAGAAATAGCCAATTTTCTAACTGATGGTTTCGTTTACTTATGAAGTAATATAGAGGCGGCAGTATTAAATTGAGACCAGTTAAAAGTAACTTGAAATAAAAGATCCTACAGCTTCTTCCACCACTATGCTCTTGTAAACAATTTAACCATAAACACATTGGTTGTTTAGATATGAATGGTGAAGATATGGCCAAGAAGTCACTCTCAAAGCATGGTAAACGTGACAGGGTCGACATCGCCGCAGACCCCTAAAGCCCTGGGAGCCCCATCCCTCCATGCAGAGAGACCCGGGAAGCAGCGAGGTCTGGGTAAAGGGTGACGGCCACAGATGGTGGTTGCCATCTGTGGCCGCACTGCTAGAGGCTGCCAAATCCTACGCAGTGCACCTTTAAAGTACCAAAAGTAAGCATATTCAATTTTCAGAGAGTTAAATTATATCATTGGATCATATTTCTTAATGCATTAATGTGTTCATCACTTTAAAGTTTCAGCTCTTAAAGGTGGAGCTAACTACTTTATATACTTAATGATTATATACTACTTAACAATACATGGTTGTTTATCAGTGTATTTATATTTTGTATTACAAATGTAAGTCAGCAAATTAGCTAGTAACTAATATTGTCGTCTGAATGTAGTGAAGTAAAAACTATTTCCCTCTGAGATGCAGTTTAGTAGAAGTATAAAGTTACATAACACATCTCATGTCCTGTTTTATTTTGGCATTTACCTGTTCCTGTCCTTTTCAGAGTCCCACCTTGATTGGCTTCACCTGCTCCAGATTACCCTTCACTCCTTGTGTATTTATTCTGTGCGCTCCCCTTTGTTCCAGTTTGTCTTTCCCCTCCTAGTTAGCGCTCCAGCATGTCTGTTCTCTGTCCCAGTGTTAGTCTCTCATGTTTGTCCTGTTTTGGGTTTTTTCAACTTTGCCTCAGCCGAGTGATTTTGGACTTTTGCCTATCCAGACTGATCACATGTGTAACGAACCTTACTTAGGTGAAGTGTTTTCATTAACTACTGACCTGCCTCCTCCTCAGTCTGTTTTTGTGTCCTTTACGTGTTGGTTCAGTACTAATACTCAAGTGAATCACAAGCCCCAAAGTGCTTGTGTGGCCTAAATGCAAAGTTTCATTCCACTGCTGCTGAAACACAAAGTCGTTTACAAGAGTACACACTTATCCATAGATCCAGCCTCTTAATTTCACCCTCAGAGTGACAAGATTGATGCATATATCTTAGAATTATACATTTTCTCCCATGTATAGAGCATGTGGAGCATGTTAATATCCACCCACCACAGCCTCACAAAATGCTGAAACTGATGAATGATGTATAAATTACGTACAGTAATTCATTGTGCTGACCGCAATGATTCACGTCTCCAAAGTGGTACTCAAATTTGTCCAGAGTTGGAAGGTCTGATGCAGCCACACTGTTCTGAACAGGCAGGTTTTAAATGGGCACTGCACTAGTAGTGAAGATGATCAATAGTTTGTTTAAAATAAGTGATGGCCAACAGTAAAATCCTCCTTATCCTCCTGATCGTGTGATCAACGGTACCTTTTTTCAGTACAAACATGTAATTTTAGTTGTAAAAAATAAGTTCAAATTTCTCAATTTTAACATTGTTAGTTATTTCGAACATGTTAGTGATTTAGAACATTTACAGACCATGTAAAACATCCGGGTCCGTCACATGACGCCATGGAGCCTTACAATGGGAAAGAGATGTCTGTAAATCAGCCGTTCATTTTTGTTCTTTTTAGGTAGAAGACCTTCCCAGTACGAAACATGAATGGCCCTTATTTAAAGGAGCTGTATTTAACATTCTGAACATTAATATAGCAGCAAACAACTATTTGAGAATGAAATCATTCTCCTGTGTTTGTTGTTATTCAAGCTTTACTTGCTGTGTTAACATAGCCGGGCCGCCCACGCATGCTTTCAGTGCACACTGGTTATCTCATGGCGCCGCCCAGACTGACAGCGTCTTTGCGTAAGCATACTCGGAAACTTTTTCAAGGAATGAACAGGATCCAGAAATTCTAGCGTTTCCGTGCAGCAGTCGATGGAATCAAACAAGGCTTCAGCCAACGACATGCCGTTATGACTCCCTCTGGAAGTTGTGCTCAGACAAAGAACTTATATTGATAAGTAAAAGCATAGAAATAGAATTGGAGTAGAATGGACAGTCTCAGTTATATCAAAGCAATTTTATGTGTACCGTTGCCATTGCAACCATTGTAACGGGCAATTTTTCGTATAAACCGACTTATCGCAAGTCACAGACTCAATGAGGTGAGGTCTTGCAGTATAACGAAAATGAGCAGGGGAGTAGTAATGTTTTAAAGCCTAGAGAGACAGAGTGTTAAAGAAGCCCAGTCCGTTGGCTGTAAGCTCCTGAGGTGTTGTTCTCTCTGGAGTAACCTGGTTGACGCTCTCGTTGTAGGCTATGCTAAACTATCTGTGAGGTGTGGTGCATTCGATACATC